AAAGGCCTAGGACAGTGTGTTTCTGAGCCCAGAGGTCAGCGAGCAGGGCAAAAAGAGCTTGTGTTTCCCGGGAGCCCGAGTACAGCTGGGAGGAGAACGTGTTTCTGACACCCGAAGACAGCGGCGATGGCGAAGGACAGTGTGTTTCTGAGAACAGAAAAGGACAGTGAGACCAGCAAAGGACAGTGTGTTTCTGAGACCAGAGGGCAGCGAGCAGGGCAAGAGAGCTTGTACGTATGCAGAGTATGGAACATTGTGCAAATTGTAAGAACTCACAATACACAGGCATCTTTACATTTCCTTCCTCTGTATTACACTGCTTCCCAGGGTTGTGTGCTGTGCCAATTTGGGTGTGGATTTTAAAACGCCCCCTAAAATGAACCTCCCGTACTGTGCCCATGCATATTGCTGTATAACCCTCGTGTTGTCCTCGCATCGCCTACACACCCCGAGTCGAGCGGGTCAGAGTGACACTCGATCTCTTTCACAGCCCTCAGAGTGTTGCAAAAGGAGGAGGCCGAAATACAACAACGTGCACGTGTTTCACTGTAATCGGTTTATTATTATCATCGCTGTTATTAATTATCTGGTAGGGCAAAAAAACACCGCCCCGGCGAGGCTCGAACTCGCCACCTCGGCATCTAACCCAGCCGTTGTCCTCGCATTGCGTACACACACCCGAGTCGAGCGGGTCAGAGAGACCCTTGATCTCTTTTCACAGCCCTCAGAGTATTGCCAGAAAAGAGGAGCCCGAAATACAAAGACGAGCGCGCGTTTCACGGTCGTCCATCTATTATCACTGTCTTTATTAGTATTTATTGGCGAGGGCGAAAAGAAACACAGCGGGGATGCCCTCGTCCGGGGCCTCTTCATCCTTCGTTTCTGAGACCCGAGGACAGCGGGCAGGGCAAGAGAGCTTGTGTTTCCCAGGACCCGAGGACAGCGGGTAGGAGAACGTGTTTATGAGACCCGAGGACAGGGGAAAGGCCAAGGACAGCGTGTTTCTGAGACCCAAGGACAGAGGGGAGGGCAAGAGAGTGTCTGGGAACTACAAACACGCCGCGAGTCTCCAGCCCTGTCCGCAACCATCAGGGTCCCAGTGACCCTAGGCTGCGTAAGGGGTTACCTAGGTTGACCCGAGGACGGCGGGAGTGAGGGGAACCCTACGCCGGGTCGCCGGGACCCGAGGGTAGTGTGAGGGATAACGCTGGCACGGCAACGATATCATCCTCTGGTGACAGAAATGTGTAGTGTGTGCATGAAAAACAAATGCAAAATATTTGGACAATGGACCATTCTGCTTCCCAGGGTTGTGTGCTGTGGATTGTAATTAGACGTTGAAGGTTTACGCCTGTTCGACGTCTAATATCGAACTGTTTTCAACATTGAAAAGTAGGACAAGATCGACCTGTTTTCAATGTTGAAAAGTAGGACAAATCTGACGTCTTTTCAATTGTACATGCACCCCATGGAACGAGAGAATAAACTGACCCCGATCAGATAGAAAGAAGAGGCCGAGGTGAACATAGCGATAAACACTGTTTCAAGATCTATAGCAAGCTTAGAGGCCAACATAGCTCTACTCAAGCGGAGAGGGCAGAGAGAGTGTGTTTCCTAGCAAGCTAAGACGTCAACCTAGCTCTACTCAAGCGGAGAGGGCAGAGAGAGTGTGTTTCTGAGACCCGAGGACAGCGGCGAGGGCAAATGAGCTTGTGTTTCTGAGACCTGAGGGCAGCGGGCAGGGCAAGAGGGCTTGTGTTTCCCGGGACCCGAGGACAGCGGGGAATCTGACTTAGACCGGTTGGATATTTTGGGTAGCCAAGCACACTCTAGGCTCCCCACGCCTAATCCGTATCATTTTCTCTGTGACCGGGCTGGGGTGAACATCTCCCGAATCCGTGTACAGTACCTCGGGGGTTTCGCCACTTTGGCTTAGCCTGGCTGGACACTTTGGGTAGCCTGCCTACTCTAGGCTCCCCGGCCTGCCTTTATTTCACGTACACGTTGCACAACAACATCACCAAACATCATGAATGTGAGAGTACAAAAACATCACCAAGCTTTATTTCACGTACACGTTGCACAAACACATCACCAGACCAGAGTGTGAATGCTCATTGCGGTGGTTGTCTCACACATATTATCAGTGGTAACCATTCAAACCTTGCATATCCATCCGGTCTCTCAAGATACCGTATCATTCTCAATCGTCCAACCGGAGAGGGGTCTGTCACACTGACTTAGACCGGTTGGATATTTTGCAATCGTCCAACCGGAGAGGGGTCAGTCACTCTGACTTAGACCGGTTGGATATTTTGGGTAGCCTACACACTCTAGGCTCCCCAGCCTGCCTTTATTTCACGTACTTGTTGCACAACGACATCACCAAAATCATGAATGTGAGAGTACAAAAACATCACCAAGCTTTATTTCACGTACACGTTGCACAAACACATCACCAGACCAGAGTGTGAATGCTCATTGCGGTGGTTGTCTCACACATATTATCAGTGGTAACCATTCAAACCTTGCATATCCATCCGGTCTCTCAAGATACCGTATCATTCTCAATCGTCCAACCGGAGAGGGGTCTGTCACACTGACTTAGACCGGTTGGATATTTTGCAATCGTCCAACCGGAGAGGGGTCAGTCACTCTGACTTAGACCGGTTGGATATTTTGGGTAGCCTACCCACTCTAGTCTCCCAGCCTGCCTTTATTTCACGTACTTGTTGCACAACGACATCACCAAAAATCATGAATGAGAGTACAAAAACATCACCAAGCTTTATTTCACGTACACGTTGCACAAACACATCACCAGACCAGAGTGTGAATGCTCATTGCGGTGGTTGTCTCACACATATTATCAGTGGTAACCATTCAAACCTTGCATATCCATCCGGTCTCTCAAGATACCGTATCATTCTCAATCGTCCAACCGGAGAGGGTTCTGTCACACTGACTGTCACACTGAAAAAAGTAGAGGCCGAGGTGGACATAGCGATAAACACTGTTTCAATATCTATAGCAAGCTTAGACGCCAACATAGCTCTACTCAAGCGGGAGAGGCGAAACAGCGGCGATGGCGAAGGACAGTGTGTTTCTGAGACCAGAGGGCAGCGAGCAGGGCAAAAAGAGCTTGTGTTTCCGGGAGCCGAGTACAGCTGGGAGGAGAACGTGTTTCTGACACCCGAAGACAGGGGAAAGGCCAGGGACAGTGTGTTTCTAAGACCAGAGGGCAGCGAGCAGGGCAAAATGAGCTTGTGTTTCCCGGCACCCGAGTACAGCTGGGAGGAGAACGTGTTTTGACACCCAAAGACAGCGGCGATGGCGAAGGACAGTGTGTTTTGAGACCAGAAAAGGACAGTGAGACCAGCAAAGGACAGTGTGTTTCTGAGACCAGAGGGCAGCGAGCAGGGCAAAAAGAGTTTGTGTTTCTCGGGAGCCGAGAACAGCTGGGAGGAGAACGGTTTCTGACACCAGAAGACAGGGGGAAAGGCCAATGACAGTGTGTTTTTGAGCCCAGAGGTCAGCGAGCAGGGCAAAAAGAGCTTGTGTTTCCTGGCACCCGAGTACAGCTGGGAGGAGAACGTGTTTCTGACACCCAAAGACAGGGGGAAAGGCCTGGGACAGTGTGTTTCTGAGACCAGAAAAGGACAGTGAGACCACCAAAGGACAGTGTGTTTCTGAGACCAGAGGGCAGCGAGCAGGGCAAAAAGAGTTTGTGTTTCGGGAGCCGAGAACAGCTGGGAGGAGAACGTGTTTCAGAGACCCAAAGACAGCGGGGCTGCGTTAGGGTTACACAGGTTGACCCGAGGACGGCGGGAGTGAGGGGTCCCCACGCCGGGTCGCGGGACCCGAGGGTAGTGTGAGGGTTAAGGACAGGGATTTATCCAGTTTGGAAAGTTAGATCAGTTGGTTAGACAGTTTTGCAAAGATTGCATCTTGATTACTGTACTGGCTTACCACTTTTCTACAGTGAATTAGCTGAACAAAGAACATACGAATGAGTAGCTATACGAATAAGTAGTGTGTCCTCAGCAATACATTCAACAGGTTCTGAGCACATTAAACAGGTTGCCAAACAATTATTTGAAAGCGTCCTACCAAAAAGTTCCATACTCTGTTTTGAATCTTCAGGCATTTCAACCAATGGCATTGAATGCACCTGGCTCCAGAGGCTGAACTACACAGCAGATAGCCTGGACCAGGAAATATGTGGACATTCATTCACAGATAGCGGGAACACAGATTTTGGCAGATGTTCCAAAATGGACAAGACGCCTTTTGTTAAAATGTCCCTTGCTCACCAAAACATTCTACAAGTTGATTTTATTGTTGAGTAGATTTTCATTGAATAAACTGCGGTTCACTGTTTCTGCAAGATCCGGCGGGCAAAATCCGTGCCCCTCCTCAATCAACAGTGGGTTTTCCCAAAATGACTTAGACTTTTCATGACAGGGATTTGTCCAGTTTGGAAAGCTAGATCAGTTGGTTAGACAGTTTTGCAAAGATTGCATCTTGATTACTGTACTGGCTTACCACTTTTCTACAGTGAATTAGCTGAACAAAGAACATACGAATAAGTTGTGTGTCCCCAGCAATACATTCAACAGGTTCTGAGCACATTAAACAGGTTGCCAAACAATTATTTGAAAGCGTCCTTACCAAAAAAGTTCCATACTGTTTTGAATCTTCAGGCATTTCAACCAATGGCATTGAATGCACCTGGCTCCAGAGGCTGAATCCACACAGCAGATAGCCTGGACCAGGAAATATGTGACATTCATTCACAGATAGCGGAACACAGATTTTGTCAGATGTTCCAAAATGGACAAGACGTCTTTTGTTAAAACAGTCTGCATTTGAAGTCCAGACCTCATTAGGTTTTATTTCTGGAAAGCGGAAGCTTATACGGCTTAGAAACTCTTTTACACTTTTCAAACAAGTGCTAACTGTCACTATGGCCAGCCATGTTAATTCTGGAAATCAGGTCTGGCCGGTTAGCTCAGTTGGTTAGAGCGCCGTGCTAATAACGCGAAGGTCGTTGGTTCGATACTCCGTACTGGCCATCACTGTTTTTCTATCTAATACCTCTTTCAAATGAACACAGATGCATTAACATTCCCGCTCAGAATGACTTAACGTCAAATGTTTTTGTGTCCTCAGCAATACATTCAACAGGTTCTGAGCACATTAAACGGGTTTGGAACAATATTTTTTAGTAGTTTAATGAAAATGCAAACACTATGTCAGTCAATGGCAATGACTCTGCCAAAACAATTATTTGAAATGCCTCTACCAAAAAGTTCCATACTGTTTTGAATCTTCAGGCATTTCAACCAATGGCATTGAATGCACCTGGCTCCAGAGGCTGAACTACACAGCAGATAGCCTGGACCAGGAAATATGTGGACTTTCATTCACAGATAGCGGAACACAGATTTTGTCAGATGTTCCAAAAATGGACAAGACGTCTTTTGTTAAAATGTCCCTTGCTCACCAAAACATTCTACAAGTTGATTTTATTGTTGAGTAGATTTTCATTGAATAAACTGCGGTTCACTGTTTCTGCCAAAACCGGCCAGCAAATCCAGCCCCTCTCAATCAACAGTGGGTTTTCCCAAAATGACTTAGACTCTTTAAGGACAGGATTTGTCCAGTTTGGAAAGTTAGATCAGTTGGTTAGACAGTTTTGCAAAGATTGCATCTTGATTACTGTACTGGCTTACCACTTTTCTACAGTGAATTAGCTGAACAAAGAACATACGAATAAGTAGCTATACGAATAAGTAGTGTGTCCTCAGCAATACATTCAACAGGTTCTGAGCACATTAAACAGGGGTTGCCAAACAATTATTTGAAAGCGTCCTTACCAAAAAGTTCCATACTGCTTTGAATCTTCAGGCATTTCAACCAATGGCATTGAATGCACCTTGGCTCCAGAGGCTGAACTACACAGCAGATAGCCTGGACCAGGAAATATGTGACATTCATTCACAGATAGCGGAACACAGATTTTGTCAGATGTTCCAAAATGGACAAGACGTCTTTTGTTAAAAACAGTCTGCATTTGAAGTCCAGACCTATTAGGTTTTATTTCTTGGAAAGCGGAAGCTATACGGCTTAGAAACTCTTTTTACACTTTTCAAACAAGTGCTAACTGTCACTATGGCCAGCCATAATTCTGGAAATCAGGTCTGGCCGGTTAGCTCAGTTGGTTAGAGCGCTGGCTAATAACGCGAAGGTCGCGGGTTCGATACCCGTACTGGCCATCACTGTTTTTCTATCTAATACCTTCTTTCAAATGAACACAGATGCATTAATATCT